AGCTATCTATATCTATACTTTTAATATCTTATGAGAACACTTTTGACAGGATATGGCGTTTGCACATATACGAACGCAGCGAGTGCTTCTATAACAGAAAAAGTGATTAGCATGTAAATTGAATTTTTGAATTACTTCTTTGTTCTTCTTGTTCTTCTTCTTCTTCTCCTTTTCTTTTATATTAATGATGTGAAGAAAAAGCAAACCAAAAAATAAACAATACAAGGCATTTTTTTTTGCAAAAAATGATACTACTTATTTTGTTTAAAAAAAAAGAAAACACCGGATGTAAATTCGCAAAGAACATAAAAAATGAGAAGAAAGACGTGTCAATCAAGTGTCTATAGTTCTAGTAAACTAAATTTTAACATTGCTATTGGAAAATAAATCCTGAAATTGAGCTTACAGTATTAGTACAGTTCATATATACTCGCTAAGCTATAAACAAAACAAAAATACAGTTTTTTACGTATGGAAACATCTTTGTTCTTCTCTTTTCTAAACGCTGAAATGAAGTCTGAAGACACCGTTCCAATTGCAAAAGATAAACAGATTCACAGAGAAAACGTTAGATTTTTTTACTAAAACATTGTTTTGTCATGACGAAAAATCAGAAAGAGTAAGTTAACCCGTTTGTGCCCAATGATCGTTTAAATGATCATTACTTTGGAGATATACAGTCATCCAACAATAGCCTGAATAAATGATTTTGATTCGACACTATGTGAAGCATATCGCTGTCCTGTCCTGTTATAATCTCTCTTTTAGAAAAATTATTTAAGGACGGGGATGATAAGAGCCAAAATCGGCTCCCTCACAGATCAATCTTATCGTAATCTATTTGATGTAGTTTTTGTCCGCGATTCATCCTGACATATTTTTCGACCTTAAAAATCCTTTTCAGTGCCCCTTGGAGCTATTATGACAAAAAGGTGTCAATTAATGTTCTTATCAGTGTTAAAACAAAAAAGTTGAGATGAACCGGATGAGAATATCTAGTTAACAACGAAAACTGTTCCTTCGTCAAATGACCTTTACTCATATTTTACTCGAGTATTTTCATCATTCTATCTCTTTCGCCTAGAGCAAGTATCAACTATTATATACCGTTCGATAGAGAATTTCATGGCCTACAAAATACTATACAAAATATTGAGAAGAAAATGTAATTGGGTCGTCCAAGATTAGAAATACTCGATAGCATCTTAGCAAACCGGTAGGGTAGGTTGACAAGAAAAACCAAGTTGTGTGTAAAAACTTTCCAAATTTTTATTTTGTTTTGTCTAAAAATTTTATTTTGTGTGTATAGCAATTTATTTTAGAATATTTTATTTTCATGAGAAAAGTGTACTTGCAGGTGAGAGTCCATGAAATTTAATATCCTTAGCTCCAAGGTACTTGATATAATCCACAATGAAAGTTTTCTGGTGTAATTACTCTAAAATAATTTTCGTTACTCACTAAATTTTTTGGACCACCGTCAACATATTTGCTTATCTTACTAATACCCAAAAAACGTCTAGTTTTATATTGAGATATATCTCAATATTGTCATCGCTTATAAGCGATGACAATCAAAAATTAGCATTCCAGTAAGTAATGCCAGTAAGTAAGTAGTAAAAGTAAGTAATAAGGATATCTCTGTAATACAACTTATCTTCATTCAACTGAATAGCTTAACTTTTTTGTCGAATCGGTTCAGTTAAACAGAGATAACTCGCCTTCCGAGCAACCGTTGTACAGTATAACGACATCTTTTGATCAACTGTGTTAAATATTGCATAGAAAATGGAACAGTTGATATATAAGAACTGAAGATGTGCTATATCGTTAAAACCCATGCACAAAAGAAATCGTAAGCTTGCATCTATAAACTAGATGCTGTTAATTAATCGAGCATTGAATTATTCAACGAATCGGTGGATACAGTGGTCGGCCGCTTCAGCTAGAATACAATTTTAATCAGCATGCAGGTAGATAAATGTACCTTTTTAGTCTTGCTGGAAGTGGGTGCAGCTAGATTTTCTCGCTTACTTAGTTCTATTCAGTTACACAGTTACTTACAAAAAAAATTGGTTACTCAGTAAAACTTATTCCCCCTTCTAAAATCTATATCGAAAACACTGATCATACTGGCGGATTGGTCACTATTTACCTGAGGAAGCTGAAAAAGCAAAATTACATGGATGGTCTGAAATGTTCAATGTAGTCGATGTGATTAAAATGATCCAATCCTTATAGATCTTTATAGTTCCACTATGACTTTCAATCAATAATAAAAGGTGTCAATTAATGTTCTTATCAGTGTTAAAACAAAAAAGTTGAGATGAACCGGATGAGAATATCTAGTTAACAACGATAGATATAATAATAAGGATAATAGGGAGGTGGATGAGATTAGAGATCTGTACAGTTAAGAAAATGTAATCGATTAGAAGACCAAAATATATCCAATTTTGTTCATGGCACGAAACCTCACATTGAAAAGCGCCAAATGTCGGTCGCTCAAACGTCACTTGACGGCATAAAATATTACTGGGAATAATTAAGTTAGATTTTGCATCCCGTAGTAATTCAATATACTTACTGACGATGTCACGGGTTACAAATATAGTTCAACTGAATCGAGTAGAGCTCACTCTCACATACTAATTTTGCGCATTGAGGCTAAATCGAGACATCTATTATATGCGAAAAATCACTTAGAAATTACAATAAAAGAAACTGTTTATAAAAACAGAAGCTTAAACAAGTTCCGCTTTTATCAAATTGGTACACGAATTCTCTCAAATTTGGATCGTTGTATCTCGAATATTACGCATCTAAATCCTATCGATAGATAAATAGTTCTTCTAGTCTGAATCTACCACTCTCTAAAAGGTATTCGTTCTTTATAAAACGAAAAAAGGTATTTGCATTTGTAAATAGAAACCTTTTTTTCGTTTCATAAAGTACTGTTTATCCGTTTCGTACAGTAGTTTTAACGGTATTTACATGTAGATACTGAAAAAACAAAACAGCGTGGTAAAAACGAAAAAGGGTTTTGTCAAATATTGTACAAAACAGATAAACGTACTTTACGAAACGAAAAAAAGGTTTCTATTTACAAATGCAAATATCTTTTTTCGTTTTATAAAGAATGAATATTTTTTAGAGAGCAGGTCGTTGCTTCAAAGACCTCGCATCATAAGACAGCTGTGAAGAAGATCAAACTGATAACTCATCGTGAATGAGTTATCGTTTTTATGGCCAAAAAACAAATTTTGAAAATATTTATCATTCATATATAATCGTGAAACTCGACTTGGATCATTATGTTTAGTTAATTTTACAACCATATTTGTAGTTACTGGAGACTCAGACAGAATTCATTTCTGAAAGAATCAAAAGAAAAATTAACTAAACTTTATCATTCAACTTTTCCGCTGTAAACAGAAAACTTAACATTTCCTTTTTGGTTAATTAATGCTAATTTTTTTCTATATATACTATAGCATTGCTTTTTTCTCTTATTTTTTTATTTAATATATCATCATGGTTTCCAAAAATAGATATTGTTTTGTACTAGCATAATTTACCAAGTAGTACTGAGCTCATGGGATTCCAACCAACTATAATAAATGTCATCCGAACGTTCTCTCCATTGATAGATTAGATTTCACCACGAATCGAGCCTGAAAATAATGGAAAGTTCCGATCGAACGGCATTGACGCAATTCGGCACTGTAAAAAGAAGTGTGTAAATGACGCATTGAGAGTAAGTGCCTAGCGATTTCCACTGACCGTCTAGAATGATGGTGTGTAAAATACACGCTGAGAAATGACCATATAGCTTTACACACTGAGACCAATGATACAGTCTGGTTGTGTAAAGTGTCTATGTTAAAAATGCCAAAGCTTCATTGATCGATTGTTCGATTTTCATATATAGCGATAGTTTGTGTTTTTCACTTTTTTTGTTATATCCGTTTTGCCTCAAAATAATAGTATATATACTTTTGAAGACGGTGATTAGAATTTTGAAAGTATTTTTGTTCATTTGATCCAGTAGCTAGCGAGAAAAATGAAAATTCTATAATATTTGAATACACTTGGCATTTAAAATATACTCAGATTGACCGTCTAGAAAAAGTATACACTTTTCAATGTCAAGCGAACATTTAGACCATTTTACACATCTCGTAATACACATTTTTTTATACAATGGATGGTTTCACACATGACATATAAGTAGTAGATGCGATTAATATCAACGAGCATAAGACCGGTGTGTATCTTTTATTAGCGAAACAAAGTTATCTGTTACACCTGAAGTTTTTACTACTCACATCAGATAGCATTTTTCGATCTAACTCTTGTTGACTGATATTTCGTCGTGTCAAAAATCTGTCTGTTTTTACTCGTTTATCTAATGAAAACAAAGTAAAAAAAATCCCGTAGGGTTCAGAACAATCTCACGGGAATGTCTCAAACTATGCGAGATCTTGTACTTTTTATTAATGGATATTTTCGCAATCGACAAAAGGAGATAAAAGATCCTGTAGAGCCGTCCGAAAAAATAAAATGAACCAATTCTTAATCATATACGATCATCTCCCCTAAATATTACTCGATGTCACTTGTTAGAACCTGATGTCTAGGTTATTTAAAGACTAATCCTAACTTTATAAATAACACCAATCATCAGAAAATCGTATCGTTCCTTTTTTGAATCTTGCACAATTCTTAACACTTAAATATTTCAATATTTTCAGTTGAAATTTTGGTAATCATTTTTATGTCGAACTTGATTTCTGTGAAAGTGTGATTAGATTCTGTTAAAAGACGTGGAAAAAAGCTTTTTAAATAAAACTCTCCTTTAAACTCAGTCAAAGATTCAATTTTTTTCAAAAACCTTAACTAGAAAATCTTTTAACAATTGATTCAACTTAACGTAATAGAATATACGTGTTGTAGTATTAAATATACTTATTCTATTATTTTATTCTCTAAAACAATACTCATCGTCTATTAATAAGAGAATCAAAATTAAATTCCAATTGATCAAATTGTTGATCATTTTCTTGATAATCATGTTGTAGAATCTTTGCATCGGAATATATTTGAAAACCAGTCATAATCAATAGTAAAAACATGAATGTTATCAATATATACACACTAATTGATAAGATAAGAGCAATTTTTTTAAACATTTTAGTCCGTTTAGATCGTTTACGATTTGTGTTTAATACAGAATTTACTTCGGTTAAAAAGTTCCAAAATAGACTTTGATTGGACATAGCAAACTCTTTTGTAAAATAATAAAGTAAATGTTGAATAATGATAGGTTCATCACTAATATTTGTATAAAATAAAGCATCGGTCGGTCGAACATGTGATGTTTTATAAGTTTTAATTTTTTCGACACCATCTAATTTTACAGAAAATTTTTTAACAGGTTTAAAAAATTTATCATTTTCAATATTTTTTATTTCTTGTTCAGCTCGTTTTAATTCTTTCATTACTTGTAAAAATAAGTACCAATCTTGAAATGGATTTGTTGCTTTTTTTCCAGTACTACGAATTTTATGTAAATTTAGACGAATTATTTTCCATTTTGAATTAGCTAATAGAGAATTAGAAGTTAGTGGTGCCTGATAATCATCTTCGATTATTTGTTGCTCATTAATAGACACAGATGGTTTAATAAATGGTGGATGATCAGTGACCATTGAAAGTAGATGATCTGTTTGTAATGGCTAATTCTTTTTGTTCAAAGTTAAAATTATTTTTACAATAGAATTGATGTATACGCGTCTTAAACAAAATTGATAATGTGTTTATCGTTTTTTTTAATAAATTAAGTTATATACATCTAAATTGAAATTAAAATCATGTTTTAACTATTGAATGTATATAGAAGTCAAAAAAAAACAAAAAAAAAAACGACTTTTTAATCATATTCTCTTAACTGAATAAATGACTGATAAAAGTATTTCCAGAATACAATAATATATTTCCATATTCTCTCTTAATCTCTGTCAAAATCCTCAATAATATATCAACATTCAAATACGTCGTATTAGCGTCATTTTTCCACTAAACATTGCCAATTTGTTGATTGATATAACCCTTCTTTTATTGACATATAAAAACTACTCTCTCTGTCTCTCTCCTATGATTTATTTTTCTCTATATGACTGACTATTAAAAGATATAAGAAATAGTTTATATCATTGTAGATAAACTAAGATGAGAGAAATGAAAGTCATATACACCTGTAAAATAAATATTCTGTTATTAAAAAAAAAAAGAAGAAAATAGAAGAAAATATTATTCTTATTAAACAAATCAAATAATTCGTTAGTATGATGATGATGATGATGATGATGATGATGTAATATTAACTACATATTTATTAGTCATTGTGTGTGTGTGTGTGTGTGACATGGTTGAATGATCAGTCAACAAAACATTTCTGGAATAAATTTAACACAAATTATTTCTCAAAATGAGAAATGCAGGCGCTTGCTCAGGTAAAAAATATGGTAGGTGCAAAAGATAAACGTACGATGATATAATCAACGTAAACCCACGTTGACAATTCTCCACTATTGCCATATATTTATAATATAATATATAAAATTTATCAGATGCTTATGAAGTTGACAGTTTTACAATATATAATGCTGCATAAAACGAATTTCTCTTTAGGTATATCATATTGAAAACATTTTAGACAAACATTAATTAAGTAATCGAAAACCACAATTCAAATAGATGACATAATTGAGTAATTTAAGTAAAGCGATTTATACAGAACAAAAACTTCATATTTTGTTGCAATATGAATGTTAGATGCAGTTATTTTCTACGTTTTTGATTGAAATATTTATAAAAAATGTTTTATAAACTCTTTCGTGTTGAAAATTTTTTTATCTTTAAACAAAAAACCAAATATCAGATAATGACAGGTGACGTTCTACACTGAAGAATTAAAATTAATAGAAATCTTTTTATCAAGATGTAATCAAAGTGTCTAGTCATTTCAAATACAGATCAAGAAAAATAAAATTTACGTGACTATAGGCATACTTTTTATCAATCATGAAAAGCTTACAATTTTTTGATGTTGTACTTGTCGAATAGAGAGAAGTTAAACTCCGTTGAGCACATATATTAGAAAGAGAATGTACAATATTTTAGAGAAATGTTAGTCTTGTCAGGTTGTATTGTTTAGAAAATTTAGTTACAACTAGTAATATTCAGAGGATATATGGATATTTTTATCACTAATACTAAGAAATCCATTACTCTGCATTTAAAGTGTATTTTTGCGAATGTAGCTTTCTCATCCAATTAATTTATGTATGTGTTATGTGTATGTGTAAAAAGTGTATGTATGTAAAGCGCACATTTTTTGCACCTACGTTTCATGTCGTATTTTCGATTGATAATCGAGATAGTTTCAGTTATTCTAATGATCACATTGAAATGTTAGATAGCATCCAAATTTGATTTGAAGAAGGATGATTTTATTTGGATTTATATTTTGATATGATTGTAGAAAAATATTATCAAATGAACTATGTAATTCAAATATTAGTGAAAAAGAATTTTTTCTTAAAGAATTTTTTTCTTATACATAGTCTAATGGTAGAAAGTGTTCTCTTCACAATGAGACGCTTCTCAGAATTTTTCGATGAGTTTTCGTGGAGATATAAGCATCGCGGCAAATGCTCTGAAAAAAAGTGACCTGTGTACAAAATGTGTTTTTCTCAAAAACTATTTTTTGTTATCGGGTTTCATTGTGTCATATTACGACTCCTCTTTAAATCTCATGTGATCAAGTTAAAAATTTTAACAGAAGTACTCAAGACACTATTGCAGACGTGGTTTTTTTTAATTTTATTTTAGACCTTTCTTTACCGAGTTATAGGGTTTTAAAATTGACAAACTTGAATTTTGAGATGTTTTTCAGTATTTTTCCTATAATTCGACCAAGAAAGATCTTTAAAAAATTCTCAAAAAATACCTCTGCGATATTACTTTGAGTATCTGTGGTAAAATTTTTAATTTGATCGGATGAGCTTTAAGGGGGGTTGTAATGTGACACAATGAAAAATTGAGTTTTCTTGAAAACTAATGAACGGTAATAGTTAAAAACTTGAAACAAGAACAAAAAAATGGTCCAATAAATTTCTAATCACTTCTGAAAATATGAAGCCTCAGTAACTTTTAGTTTTTATTTCACAGCATTTCTACGAAAAGCTCAAAAAGAGGGGAAGGGAGAGATGGGTACCCTTAAATTTAAATTGTCTGATTCAAGAAAGAGCATTTTAATAAATGTTGAAACGTATAAAAAGTCATCTTTTAGACGTTAGAAAATTAAGATCTGCTTTTTTCTCTTCTGCAGATGTAAAACTGTTCGGGATTGCTAAAAAAGTTTTAATTTTAGGTTTAACTTTCCAATTTCTGATGGTTTTCTTTAGTTTTGTTTTGAAAATCACATATTGATCGATGTTCACCTCATGACAATGATGCCATATTCAGTATAAATTTTACCCTTTTTTTATGCATGTAATTTATTTGGTAAATGGACATTATATAAATCAATCTTATGTATCATAGAAAAAATGCATTCATTTCTTTTTTTATGTACGAGAGTATAATCTAAACGTTGAGCTTTTTCTACTAAATTTGTTAATTTATTTTGATTTATTTTACAGTTTACTCTTCCTTCGAAGTATTTCACAAATAGAAATATTTAAGAAAAACTTAGAAAAAAAAACCAGTTAACGTCCAAAATACTACCCTATGTGCTGTCTCTATTGAAAAAGTAGATAAATTACTAGAACATAGGTACACTAATGCGAACAATGTAAAGATGCAAAAGAATAGTTCCCAATACACCACTGTAAAACAACACTAATCCGAAAAAAAGTAATTATTTCTAACGAGAAATAGTGTTTTTTCAAAAAAGAAAATTAGAAAAATGATTTATTACAAAAAAAAAAAAACGATAGAAAACACATATATACAATTTAATCATCTCAGACATGATTTTCAAAATAACTTCATGTACCCTGTTCGTAACAATGAAATCTTTCATCGACAAATGTCTTATCTCAAAAGCAAACAAGGATATCAAAATTTTTGCTTATAACAAATCAACATTGTGTAAGAAATTGCAAAACAAAAAACGAAGGAAGTTGAGTTCAAGTTTGATGTCGCTGAAACTCTAAGTTTCAGTTTTTAAAAGATTAATCGTCGATCTGTTTGAAAACATAGTGCGAGTCAAAATACATGGGTATTTTAAAGTACAAAATTAAAATATCTCGCGAGTCATACACCAAAAAAATGTATTTTTAGCTGAAGAATTTTTAAAAAATATCGATATTTCAACGGTTTGAAAAACGTGTTACTGACCGAACCGGTTGCATTTACAACACTGATCAACATACCAGAATGAAGAAAAAGAATAATAATAGTACCCGGATATGGGACTCAGCACGAAGTTCAAGCTCAGCGTTGATAAAAAGATTTGTAATAAAAATTACACCTTTTAAACATACTGTTAGAAATGGTTTCATAGAAGCTCAACTTGCTAAATTAAAAAAACTTAATAAATAAAACAAATAAAATAAATAAAAACTAGCTCAGATTGCTAAATAGGGATATGTTTTCTGTACTCTCTAAAAAGAAATCATTAGCTTACAAAACGAATATCGGTTTTAGCATCTCCTACTAGAAATCAATCTTCGTATCATACAGTTCTGCGTAACCGATATTCGTTTTGTAAGCAACTGATTTTACAGATTTATTTTTAAAGAGTACTGGAGTATTCGTTGCATACATCTGTACTGCTATCATCAGTTCTCGAATACCAATGGGAGAAATAATAACTAGAAGGTAATTAAGCAGCGCGAATATTGTACAGCCAAGGCGTAGTTTTCATGGAATAGTAAAGAATTCAGTTAAAAGAAAAATTTGGTTATTTGAAAAAAAATTTCTTTTTTTCCGAAAAGAAAATCTAGTCATAAATTTGTACTACGGATGCCATTTTATTTGTATTTATTAAGTAAAAGCTCAATGAAAAAATGAATGAAAAACAGGGGAAACAGTGCTGTGAACATTTCATGCTATCTTGAACGGATTTCACTGCTACTTATTGACGATACACTGAATACCGTGTTTTCTTGTAAACTGCAAGTAGCTCAACTCCTGTGATTCTCTTTCATTTTTCTTTTTGTATGAATGTCCGTTTACACACAGCAAATTAAAGCGGGAATATCTTACTTTCAGTGTATTTACTTGTAATAGGAAAGTGTCACTTGACGTATCTAAGTGTCAGCTAACTTATTTCGAAAAACATCTGTTGACTTTTTATTGTGAAAAAAGCAAATGAATAATTTTCTTTATCTGGGAAAATAATTAAAAAGTAAAAGTAAACTGACATCCCTAATCTGTACTATTTCGCCAAGCGAAGTCACATTTTCATTCAAAGTTTATGTGTCACTGAGAAAAGAACCAGATGTATAAGTTGTATTATTTACTAAAATCTAAAATAATACTATGTACTTTTTTGATCGTATTTGTTCAACTGAAAATCCAAAATTAGAAGAGAAACTTTGAAAAATGGAGATTAGCTACATGAATCTACGCTAGTTTCATTACTTCATTTATTGTCTGATTAATAATGGAAAACATAAAATAAAAATAAACTTGATTATAGTAACACAGCAATGTAGCAGTGAAAAACAATACAGCACAAGAGTGCCGCTGGCGCCTTTTTATCAAGTACTAAAACCCATAAAAGAACACATCGGAAAATTTTGACCAAAAATACATCGATTTTCTTTTTCGATACTCTATCTCCGATAAAAATTTGGAGTCCAGCGGGCCTTTACTTTCACCTTTACCAACAGAGTCAGAAAAGAGGGGGAAGGTGTATCCCTAAGAGATTGTGAACTCCGCAGTTGACAACCCTCGTCTATTCGTTCTAATTCAGTCACGTTCATGCAAATATTTGATACATCCTCACTATTCTCGGTTTTTCTTCTTTTTTTAGATCAATTCGAGTTCATTTTTTTACTAAAAGAATCGTCGCTTAATTCAACAAGAACATACCAAAGATTTAAAAAAATTAAACACAAAACGCTTTAAAGTTCCAAATTGATCAGCTATATACACTTCTTTTATATCGAATCATGTGACGCAAAGATTGACTTTTTGAAACTCGATCAAAAATAATTACAAACTGTTCTTTTCTTTTCACTCACATAACATTTTGAAAAACAAGAAATTTATTCAAGTTTTTTTATTTTGAATGTAATGAAATAATCATTTGTATTCAAAATAAAAATAAGAAATTCGAAATATTACTTTTTAACCGAATTATATCAATTTTAGTGGAAAACAACGTAAACGACGATTCGATTCTTAAAAGAGGAAGTTCTCTTATGCGTAAGTTTTTGATACGAAGATTTTTAATTTCAGCTAAAATGGTAGAACTTTTTCAAGGGGTTACAACACAGCTAATTCACTATATTAACATTTTCAAAGATCCTACAAATAAAACCGAAAAAATGTGTTTTTGAATTTAAGTAAATGGCATGTTTTGAAGCTATACAGTATTTTTCATCTAACTTTTTACATTTACATTTTGAAACAGAACTTTTAATATTATTTTTGTACAAAATTGAATGTCGAATTAATCGATAAAAAAACTCAGAGGATTACAGTGAAGAGAGAAGATAAAACGAAAAGTACGAAAGAGTATCGTTTCTTTTGCGTCAATCGTTGGAAAAAACATAGATATTGTGTAATCGAGATATATTTTATTCACTTTTTGAAGTTCGCACGGCAACTACAGAAGAAAGGCAAAGTGATTTAAAAAGTTGAATATTTCTAACATACGTCTATTTCCTAAATATTATAAAATAGTTTTGATGAAAATAATCAAAAGTAGATAATAAAAGAAAATGAAAACAAAAACACATTCACACAAGCGAGTTAAACGTGGCGTGTTGTACGTCGAAAAACAGCAAAAAAAAAAACGTTGAGAATTTAGAATGATAACTATCAGACGTGGACGATGGACGAGGATTCTCTCGAGGGTGATGACGAGTCAAGAACTATAGGCAAACCCTGCGAAGCACATTTTTTCACTGCACTTATCTTTGACTTATGTAATTTTGGACATATTTTCTGGTAAATAAAGCATCAAGTATGTAACAATACCGGGTGACGCTAGTTTTTTCCGATTGGGACTGGATGAGAGTGATGTTATTGTACCAGCATGATAACGCCACATATCACGATTAGAGATCTGCAACCCGACCCGACCCTAGGTTAGGATCGGGTTCGGGTTGAACATTGTACGGCGCACTTTAAAATATAGATAATAATTTCAATTTTGTATTAATCGTTGAAAAGTTAACTCTTTTGGAATTTTCCGTTGAAATACTTATTTCAGAACAACTGCATTTGCTAACGAGGTAAGGTCTTCAGATACCCAACTCCGTTTTTAATGATATTATGCCAGTTAATAAAGGAAAGTGAGGAGATGCCTCATAGGAGGACCCATATCAGTTCTTTCTTTCTTCATCAGCTGGTACGAAATAATTTTCCTTTTGGTGAATAGGCAAGTTTAACAATGTAATAATGATGTTCAAATATATGAATTTCTATTAATGTCGTATCATCAATCATATATACATGCGCTTTATTATCTTACAAATAAAAACTATAGTAAAATTGAAAAATAGTCTAAACGAATAACACACTTTTCCGCCAACAGCCAATTCTGTTTCATGCGGATGTACAGCGATAGATGTTGCTTCGTATAACGATTGTCCCGTTTATCTCGTATTATATAAATCATATTTGAAGTAGCACAAAATACAATATCCGTTTCACTAATACAAATATCACGTGGTTGACTTTTTCGGTACGTCAAAAATAACAAATTTCAATACAGATCTTTGAAAATAACTTGTCTTGTACTTACTCGTACGAATTAGTTCTAGCCAGAGCTACAGACTCTGCCTGTTGCTCCGACGGTCATCGGGGGAAACTTATTGATTCTGGGAAATTTTTTGAAAAATTGGAACTTCTTTTTACAAATATATTGCAAAAAGAAATTCTGTTCGTGGATTATGTCGAGAAATGTTTTGAAAAACTTTTTCTGTCAAAGGGGATTCCAGTCTCACAGGTAGAGTCTGCATCTCTGATTCTAACATTAATATATATTACAGAGTCATCAATATCACACGATACAACACGACGAGAATTTGAACTTGATTCGTGTGACGCTCACTAGTGACTAATTCCATTTTTCATTCCATCGAACCTTTTTATGTTAAGAAAAATCTTTTTATCTTTTCAGTAGCAGCCTTCAACAGAAAAGAAAAGTCTTTAAAAACTTTCATATAAGTGATCTGCTTAAAATTTTATTTCTATTTTTGCTAAATTTTAATTCATTCAACTTTAGCTAAAGAGTAAATATTCCCAAGGAATTTCTATTTTGAATGATATTTTGCTGATAGTAAGGTTCCTAAAACTGAAGGAAAAAGTCTTCTAGAATTTGGACATATACGCTCTTGTTGTAGAGTTACGAACAGGGCTGCCGCGACCAGTCAGACTGTGTGTGTGAGGGAGGCGGGGTGTAGCATTGAGACAAGATTTTTTTCCCAGAGAATGCAAGAAAAAATAAATTTCTGTTGGGAAAAATCGAGAATTTTTAAGTTTTGGAGGGGTGTCACACACACAAACCGCAAATCCCAAAACGAATGATACAAAATATTTATTCATAAACACGTTGTATTTAAACTGCATCTCTACCACAAACCACTTGAATAGCTGAAATTCTTATTGTCCCAGTTAGTCGCTATTACTTACTTGAAGCTAAGAAAGCTATTTTTTAACTTTCGGAGTTCTTCCAACTAATTGGTTGTATAGATCAAGAAAAGATAATATAAATTATTATTCTTTACTCCTAAGTCTTCTGTCAGAGTAAAAGAACATCCCAAATATTATAATAATTGCTAACATAATATTGATAATTATGTCCTACATAAAAAAAAGCTATTTTTTACTTAAAAAAATTGAAACTACTTTTTTCAAAGATGTTCCCACTTTGTGTAGATTTGAACAATTTGCTTAAAAGTCAAAGATAAAATGAGGCTTATTTTGTTCATTTTTTTTGTTTTTATAGGATATTTTAGTAGTAAATGAATTAGCTATTACAAATTTATTTTTCAACATGACAGGAAAAATATTATCATACAAGTGAAATGTACAGTACTAAAGGAACCTGATGTCATATTTCAATCAGCAGTCAATAGCAAAAATAGTGTGAACTGGAAACGATTTCTTGACTCTTATATAGTAGAACAACAAAAATTACAAATTAATAATAGAAAAAACAAGAACAATAATAGCAGAGAGAAAAATAATTAGACAGAACACACAAAAATATGAATATCAGATCTATACTCTGTTGCTTGGTGTGTCAAATTCACTAGTAGATCTGATAGCCCCAAGCATCCGATATTTTAAATCCTAAAACAAAAAGAAAAAGATAATTTTAAAAATTTCGTTATTGCACCTGCTAGTCCAGGATAGTAATAAAAAAATGTCATATATATATATGTATAGACGTCTGAAAACATTTCATTTGTCCAGTGTATCTGAGAAAAGGTGAAAAGTTAGAAGGACGAAAGCAAAAAATGGCAAAAACCGAATATAAGCTTAGGGAAGTTTCAGACCAGTAAGCCGGATAGGACTTATCCACTTTGACGGGCTCTTTAATTAACGAAAAAAATTATTTACTTTTGACTCCTGTTTGCTAAGTAGAGATGTGCATGGGTACAGCTTTCGGTACTCGTATCCGACAACCGTCTATCCGATACTCATTCATTGAGTATGATACCTCTCGGATTGATCATCTCTATTGCCAAGTTAAGTGAACCTTGACGAGCTATGTCCATTTGAGAATTGAGGAGAAGAAAGAATCATCAGGAATTTTATCACTATAGTAATTTAACAGCCAGATATTGTCTTGACACTCACTAGCACGCATTCAAATGCCTCTCTAATAGTCTACAGTTAATCTAAAGCTTGAAAAGTTCAACTATAGGGCGGACTCAGTTTGAAACTAAAATTCATGTTTTAAAAAAGATTTTTAGTTAGTCTAAACCAGTTTGCTATTGTTCTCCAACATAGATATTCCAAGTGAAATTAATGCTAACTTAACTCGATAAGAACGAACTGAAAATACATGATTTTTTTCGTTAATTAAAGAGCCCGCAAAAGTGTTTACATATAGTCTTATCCGGCTTACCGATCTGAAATTTCCCTAAGCTTATATTTGAATTTCATCATTTTTTCTTTCATTCTTCTAACCTTCAAACTAACTTTTCGCCCTTTCTGACGTAATTCATTTATTTTACCGACTGTTTCTGTAGGAAAAAACTAGTGTTTAATAGCTATTTACTGATGCCCTCGAATAGAATTTTGTGACAAAAACAAGATAATGTGTGATATTAGCACTAAACAGTAATAATTGTTTATTCTATTGACCATAACGGGAGTCTACATAAGTTTTGCCACAACTGTCGAGCGCTGTTTCTCCATGTTCCCAAGATTTGGCTTTTATTTGTATGAAAGAGTAAAGTATGAACTACAATTTTGTGCAAATTAATGTAAAATAAAATATAATCTCAGTTAGTAGTAACTCATTTGCTGAAAGCGCTAAGTATGGCACGCGAAATCACTTTCAGGTGTTTCTGAACAACTTTTAATAAAGTAAGGCTGATAAAGTTTTTCACGGGCTAGTAATATTTCAGGGGCTTTAGTAATATTTCACCAGCACTTTTTTAATGATGTCTAGTATTTGAATTTTTTGTTAATGAAGTACTATGAGAGAAATATTTGTCTGATGCACGTTGCGTAGTTCAAACTTTGTTTGTTCACACAAAAAATAAGCCAAGTCCTCCAGATATATATATAGAGAAACAGCGCTCGACATTTGTTGTAAAACTTATGCGCACCTCGTTAAAAGATACTCGCTTCGACTTGTTGTGCTGCAGCTCAGCGTCTAGTACTCCAGTTATCTATAAGTGAGCAATATCTTGTCTGACCACAAAATAACTTACTTCGACAGCATTATGTGCACGATTAGCTGATGAGCCAGCTGCTATCATTCCAGTATAAACACTTTTCGCTGTAGATACTAAATCTAAATAGAGAAAAAGCGAACAAGAATTTTTCTTTCCACACATTCCCCTATTTTGATCAATAACAAACCTTCCGCCGTTATATCAGCACCATACGATTGTAAACGTTTTTCTGCACAATCTAAAATATCTTCACAGTTTTTGTAATGAGCTTTGATGTCGTCTACTTTTTGCATAAAATAACTAAAATAACGAATGTACATCAACATAAATTTTGTTTTTTTAGAGATTTACATACTTGTCAACAACTCGATCTTCAATATCAGCACCTAATGGCAATGATTTTAAATATTTGCATATTGTAGCATTATACAACTCCTAGAATACAAAGAATTTTGATCTCTTCTCTCTTATATCATAAAGACTTCTGTTTTACTTGTTGATAAGATTGATTTAATTGTGCAAAATTGGCTTCATCTTTCTGTACATCATTTTGTGCATCTAATACATATTGTTTAACTCTTACAATTTGTTCGTCAACAGTAGAAAAACGAATAGTTGAAGTGAATTCCATTTCAGCTAAATATTGATCATTCTGAGATAATACATTACTAAAGAAAAAGAAATCATTGTTGAGTGATGAACTGTATAAATAAAACAACAAATATAGACCTACATGAAATTATCAACTAGTTCATTTAATTGTGATGGTAATGGTTGATCTAGTGGATCGGTTGATTCTTTCGGTTTAGGAGCTAAAGAAAAAAAGGACGAACGAAGATTGTAATAAAAAAGAATATGGTCAATTTATTTTTACCTAATGTGGTTGTGTAGCCAGTTGATGATGTAGTGGTTGTCGATGTTGCCATTGTTGTGGAAGAAGGAGGAGCATAATATCCACCGAGACCGATGCTTGGTTGAGATGACTGGAACAGAAATAGATTTTTTCTTTTAAAACGTATGAAAACTAACACCAAATATCTCGAAGAGCGAATTTCCAAAAAAACTTTTAGTGCGGTACTAGCAGTGTGTGCCAGTGCACATGACGTGTCGTGGATCACTAACATTGGCTGATAACCATTGGTACCCAGCAAGTGCCAGTTATCATTAGTGTCTTACTCATTTTTATTAGTGCCGCACTAATTTAAGGAGGGCACCATTAAATTTTAATTTATGTTCTAGAAGAGCAGACAAAATCATCATCGCATTCAAATACGGAACAAATACATCTGAGTTCAGTCAATTAATATAAAACTTTTTCGATAGAAAAACTAATAATAATATAATAAAAGAAAGAAAATATAAGTGCTTGGCAATCTAAGGATATGTAAGATCCATTTCATTTTTTTATTGCTCCGATGCTATTGTTTCCATCAATGATCAGGAAGATTGGCACATTTCAATCGCTAGGTATTTTGCAGTCAAGAAATGCCCAAATTCATCTTACCTGCGCACTTGTTACTGTAGATAAAAATGCTGACGACGAAGCAGGTGGAAATATGGATGTTGTACTTGCTGATGGTGCTGTAGAAACCGCCGTGATTGTTCCAGTTGATAACGGCGATGGAAAAAAGCCAGAACTTGCTGCAGTTGATACAGCCGGGACTGTTGTGCTTGCTATTGAAGTAGTTGCAGGAAAAGCAGATGGACCAAACGAAAGACCGCCTAATGAATTCAAAGAAATAGAGTTAAAAAATGGAGGATATTAACAGGATAATAATGTTTTATTAATCTGGACGGCATTTGAAAAGACAAATATCGATTAAATACTAATATCATTTTCAGCATAATTCAAATAAATATATACGCTACCAAAATCTTTGTACGTCGATGTTATTTTTTCTATTCTCAACAACCGGTGGTACAAGATATGTGTTTGAGTAATTCCAAAATTCATTTAGCTTACCTGTTAATGGTGCAACACTTGTTACAGGTTTAGGTATTGATAAGAGGTTTGTTTGTGGCCCAAACGACAGTCCCGGTGTTAATTGAGCTGTTGAAGACGATGGAATTTGAAAAGGTAATGATGTGGTTGTTGTTGTTGCTATTACAGGTCCGCTCGTTGTAATCGGTAAAATAGATGCGGCAGATAGAAATGGAGCCGCTGTTGAAGATGGCTGAGCGAATGAAAATGCACTAGGAGTTGATGTTGTGACTGCTGTTCCTGGAGTGAATGTTGGTTGACTAAACGATCTAAACAGTAAACAGTAAAAATTGACTTTAATGAATTTCTCAGCCTCATACTTACAACAATGGAGGATTTGTTGCTGCTGGCGTCGCGAATGAGATTTGTGATGGCGCGGATACACTCGTACTGGTCGCTGCCGGCTGTTGAAGACCGGTGATTGTAAACATTGAAGGTGTTGTAGTGGCAGCGGTAGTAATGGTTGCTGGTGCTTTAGCGGCAAATGGTGAGAAAAAACTTGATGTTGTGGTGGCTGCTGAGGGAATGGCACTACTTAATAAATTTGTCGCAGGTGATGATGTGCCAAATGAGGAAAACAATGAAGCAGTTGAAGTTGTTGTTGTCGGATTCTGAGTTTGTGTTGGAAATGAGGGAGCACCAAACATTGTATTTGGTTGAGATGGCTGCTGTGATGGTGGAACTGTATTAATAGTCGATGAAGATGGAAAATTGAAACCACCTAAACGAAAAATGAATAAACAATAAAGTATACTAAGCTATAAGCACACCATAGAGTATCTGAAGACATTATTCGCTGACTGGTTTATTATTTTGGGTATACTAGCATACTTTTAAACGCACATCTAGTCTTGAGGTACTACAGATTGCAGAGATGCTACAGTATTTTTCAAATGTTTTCTTAGTAATAAAAATAACTTATATATCAATCACTCACCTAATCCTGAACTGGTTGTTGTCTGAGGTTGTGATGGCGTAATTCCTCCAAATGAAAATGTTGGTATTGTTGTTGAAGATGCAGAAGCTGTTGTTATCGCTCCAACACCACCACCACCAAATCCACCAAATAACGAAGATGATTGTGTAGTGGTGACGGCAGGAACTTGTTGCTGTTGTGGAGGAAAACTAAAGCCCCCTGAATGAAAGAGATCAAAAATATCTTCATACGAATGACAATTTATTCCAAGGGCAAAAAATGCAACTTCATAATGTATTCAACTTCCCAAATAGTAGTCAATATCTTTTTCTTTATTAAAAAAATTTACCTAAACCTGAACTAGCTGTTGTTGTTGACGTCGATGCTGGCGGGTTTGCACCGCCCCCAAATAAGAATCCTGTTGTACTAGCTGCAGATGTCGTTGTTGGGGTTGGATTAAATGCAAAACTAAATGGATTTGCAGGTGCTGCTGCTGCTGTTGTTGTTGTAGGAACAGACGTTGAAGCCGTTCCACCGCCAAAGGTGCTTAATGGTGATGATGCCCCAAAGCCAAAGCTACCGGTACTGCCAAATGCGGCTGGCTGTGTCGTTTGAGATCCGAATGCAAATGTTGACGCCGGTTGTGGTCCTCCAAATGAAAAGGTGTTAGTGGGTGCTGTTGTAGTAGCACTGGAAGGATTGGCTGCTCCAAATGTGAACGCCATGTTTTCAATAAAATAATTTCTTTCTGAAAAGAGAGTATGAACATCCGCTTGTAATAAACAAAGAAAATAAAAACTAGATGTTTTTTTAACGGTACGTAAAGCTGATTAGATTTTGTTGAGATGTGTATACTCAAACATTTTTCTACAATATTAGAAGATTCTGCAAAAGAACACAAGCTAGGTGAACCAAGGCGGTTGTTTCTAATGGATTTTTCTCGACCGGATGAGTATTTCCTTGAAAGGTGCACAAGCTTGAATTTTATCCTACTCCATATTTACCTACAGAAACGCTGTGAGCGAAGAAAATGGATTTTGTATGTCTGTATTGTGTAACAAACATAAAGAGGTTGTTTTCTATTCGCCGCCAAATTTTTCTCATTAAAAATAATTACTGTCGAATTTAACAAAACATCGAAAAAATTTTGATGTATCGATTCATGAAGTACTAAGTGATCAAAAACATTTGAGCAAATGAAGCCTTATACGGATCTCAATCAGAAAACTTGTTTTTCTCTCAAATTTACACTCAAAACTGTAACTCTGAAAAATCATACTCTATAAAAATACTGAATTATGATTCTGTAAATCAAGTTCTCTCCAATATTCTGTTTAACCTAATAAACTCGTATAAAATAATAACACGGTAATAACTGCTGATAAAACTAAATGTAAGAGGTCTGGTTTATTCTGGGGGCGAATATGCAAATAAAATTAATAAACCGATCCTCTACAGCAGCTCTCCAGATGGCGTGTTCATTCGATAGGGTGGGAACAACTGGTTATAAAGACCTAACTTATGTTGTTCATATCACAAAATCGAAAAATTTTAAAAAGCTTGTTCAGTCAAAATTGATTCTAGGTTCGTCTTCTCCATGTTCGATTATTTTGTGCGCGATAACTTTTGGATTGAGGTACTTCAGAAAAATGTTTCGATGTCGTTTTCGCTGTGATCCTTTATAGTAACTTTTCGAAAATTTTTGAGCAAGACCATGAGGAAATTTTTTTCTGAAGTACCCTGATCCAAAAGTTATCGCGTACAAAATAATCGAACATGGAGAAGACGAATCAGTTTTGATCCAACAAGCTTTTGAAATTTTTCGATTTGGTGATTTGTTTAGTTATTCCAAGTTGGTTAGTCCAAATTATTTGGCTATAATATAGTCAAATAAATTGAAAGTTTTTCAGAAATATTTGACGTTTTATACTATAAGATACTACAAAACAAAACATTGGCTCGGTAGTTCGTGAGTACTTATGCGAAAGCTTCTTGACTATTTGTGAACTTTTAAGTACTAAAATACTCAAAACTTTCGGTAGTATCAATTTGGTGCCCAACGATTGAAATTATTACTTAATTATAGTAGAAAGTAATTTCTATAAAGTCGTTCCAGTGACGATTGGATAAAAAGCGTGTAAAATTGAGTATGTGAGTGACATGCATTCAGGTATTGGTGCGTTTCGACCAATGAATCAGCCCGTTTTTTATCCAAAGTTTATAAAAAACCAATAAAGTTGAATATAATAGATAGGCAATTTCTGATTCTAGGGTAATAGCTCATCAGAGGCGGCGGAACCATGGGGGCCGTGGATGCTCTGCCACTCACAGATTTTGAAAATTTTCGTTTTCTTCTAGTAGAAACTTCTTTTTTCTTTGCGTTCTTGTCCTTGAGCATCTATAGTCTCAGAATCATTCCGTCGCCTCTGACTTATATTATGTAGGAACCGGTTAGATTGAGGAAAGAGATAGCGGTATTTTCTTTTTTTGTATTATGCTAGGAATTTGTTTTGGAATAAGTCGACTTTTGTGTTGTACAGGGTCATTTTCTACCATTGAAGTGACTTTAATGAGAGCGATGCAGAGCAGATTCAATTGGATAGCCAAGAGATTTCTGCATTTTTATATGATTCTTATCACTGAATATATAAAAAAAGCTAATTTTAATGAAGTAAGAGTTTAAAAACAAAATAACTCATAAAACAGCCCCATATCGCCATCTTAGTATAAATTGTGTGCCCTGTGTAAAGTAAACATTAAAAAAAAGAGATAAAAGAGATAAATTGTCTCATCTGATTGGTGAAAAGGGTGGCTAAACCAGTCAAACCGAACGATTTATATTTTTATGTTTACTTTACACAGCGCCGGTTGTATGAATAGTTGCAAAGAAATAATTTTCTACAAAACGAATACGGTTGTATAAGTATTTCTCTTAACTTGCTCACGTTTAAATGCTTTAGTGTAGAGCCGTATCGCTTTTCCTTCGGCTAAGCGTTATATACACACACGTCTTTTATCATTATCCTGAGAACGATCGACAATATTATTACCTATCACGACTAGTTATATGTTTCACTTTTGAACAAAAGAAGAATGCAACGACGAAATTCTCCTACTCGTCCAGCTGATAAATTGAAAGTATTTCTTTGGACATCCTTTTTATGGTCAATCGTTTTATTTGTTCTTCTGGTCCTGTTTATCATTTTTTATCCATCAAAATGTGAAACAAATAAAATATTAAAAAGTATAAAAACGATTAAAGACTAATATATTGATAGAGATTTACATTTTAATTTTTAGGTGCACTATGCTCAATTGGACAAGCTCTTACAAGAAACTGTAATAAAGAATCATCGTTCGAGAATGTACAAATAATTGAAAGTAAGAGTCTCAAAATAGGTTGTAAATAACTGGCAGAGACGTCAAGATTGGCTTTTTAATAGCGCTCTATTTATCTACTGATCAATAGAGTGAGTAATAAATATAATGGAGCAGATTTTCAATCGGTTTTCTAAGAACGGTTTTATAATTAATAAAAATTATCTTTCAAATGATTAATCACCTTTTTCCTCACTATTTCAGAAGAATCTGTTGCAACGGTGACCGCCAAATCTGCTCCTGGATCATATGACTGGTCTCGAAAATATCGTGATACGTATTCACAATGTGATAGTCTGATTGATGAATGTTCGAATGATGATAATTATGTTATCAAACCAGAAGGTTCAATATTTTCTTCGTTTATATCAGAAGACTTATGATAACGATTTGTTTAGTTGCAAAAAATCCTGAACATTATCCAGGTGAAATGGGTAAACCCTATTTATTAACCGAAAATATGGAAGAAGAATCAAAGCGACGTTTTTCTGAAAATATGTTTGATATTGTTGTGTCAGATCATATTGCATTAGATCGAGCAATGCCAGATATAAGAAATGATCAGTACGAAAGATTTTGAGGAAAAAAAAATGAATGGTTTGTTTTTGCTATGAAAAGAAGTGCATATCTAAGAACATGGTCATAATATACGATGCTAGATCCATTACGATTAATAAAAGATGCAAAAAATCTTATTGCCATTTCCATTTTCTACGAAGAAACCTAAATCAACTTCCTTCGTTTATTCACGCCGAGATCGCGTTCCATTAATGCAACTTACAGCGCTATCGCAACGAGTTATGATTTTTCAAAAAATTTCTAATTTATGATCCCAATAATTTTTCCTTATTGCGATCGCCTTCACATCACCAAGTCGCATCGTGACTCGCTATAGTGATTCGCGGTAAGATAACAGCAGGTGCTGCCTAATAAATGCCTCTCAGATATTTTAACATAGTTTTCCCCTTTAATAACAGAGAGCTATTGGTTTTTCAAAAAGGTTCCCTATTTTATTCTTTGTACGGATTACTTTATTTACTGCCCATATTTTTATGTACAGTAAATGTAAAATAATATAGATGAAATACTGCGATACTTCAGTCTTGATTGCTTTCCAACCCAAAGCACAATGAAAAAAAAAATTGTTTAATACATCGCCCTACATCCTTTCATAAAGGTGGAATAAACACGTATGCTCTTGTGCTCTGACGTCTTGTCTTTCTTTTTGAATATCATACATTGGCTTGAAATGTGTTCCGCTGGCGCAGAAGGCGATTGTATTAAAATTCACCGCAGAAAGGGAAAATCTGACTTTTTTACATTAGAACAGAAAAAGAAATACAATTAGTGAACGTTGAGAACTAAAAGTTTTCCGGTTGCAAAGTTATCAAGATTGAAGTATCGCTGTATTTCATCTATATTCTTTTATTTTTACGGTACATAAAAGTATGTTCAGTACATTTTTTTGTACAAAATAAAACGGCGAACCTTTTAAAAAAGGACATAGATCTCTATCATTAAAGGAAAAAAATATGTAAAATATATGAGAGGCTCATTTATTATGAAACATCCGTTATTTGTTAAATTTTAAAATCATGTCGCGTTCTCGGTTTTTCTCTTACAATCGCAATATTACCCAGAATGGCGGTGCGATTCTGTTTGACTATGCTATTAGGTTTTTGTTATCTTTAAATGCATGAACGTTTTATATGTACTTTTTCATTCATTTTAGTTGTAAAGCTCGATCCATATTTCCATCAAATTTACCAAATACTAGTATAATTATCGTATTTCATAACGAGGGCAATTCAACATTATTACGAACTTTAGTTTCGATAATTAATCGTACACCATGGAAACTAATTCATGAAATTATTTTATTAGATGATGCTAGTATCGATAGAGGTATATATGTCTAAAGTAGTAATACAATGTGAACTTGTACATCTTTTTATTTTGTTCGCAGAATATTTACACGAACCATTACAACAATTTATATCAACATTACCGGTTAACGTTAAACTTTATAGAGTATTGAGAGTATTTTATTCTAGTTTGACTTGTTTGCTTAGTTTGACTGTTTAGGCAGATTTGACAATTTTGAGTATTTAGACTATCCACACTAATTTGAATAGGTGGATTAGTTTAACTAGTTTGACTACTTTCACGATTCAGACAGTTTTGCCCATTTGCACTATTTTGTCTGTTTAACGTATTTAGACTATTGCTACTATTTTGACGAGTTTGACTGGTTTTAATAGTTCATTATTTTACTGGTTTCACTCAAATTAGTCAGAATGGTCTTAATAGTCTAACAAGTTTAATTAGTCTAAATCTTAAATAGTCAAACAAGCCAAACTAGTATAAATAGTCAATATGGTCTAACTAGTTAAAATAGTCTGGATAATCTAAATAGTCTAAACAGTCAAACTAGTGGAAAAATGGCAAAATAGTTCAAATAGTCGAAATCGAATCCTGATCTGCTGACTTTAGTCATATACACACATCTATGACTACATGAGCTCCTGAGTTTCTAACAAGGGGTAGGACAGTTCCAGTTCAGTACTTTTGAACAGGAACTGATACCAGTTCCCGTTCTTGCTGGACGCGAACTAGTACTAGTTTTCAGTAGTTCAAAATGAAGCGGCTGCGGAAAGGGTACGGGTGGTGGATCAGTGTAGGTGATTGATAATTAATGATAGATCGAAGAGGAGAAACCAAAGCGGAAAAGGACAAAAAACAAAACTTATCCAACTTTTTAAAAAATTGTTTTCTTTGTGTATTAACAGAAGTACGGTTGATGAAGTAAAGCGCAAAAGATGAAAGGAGAATAGAAATGATATGGGACGTTGCTTGATTAGATGCTGTTGGCTAGAGAATCCCTTGCTTTCCATTCTGATTCTCCTCCGCGCAATGAGACCGACTGCTCAGTGCCGCTATATGTTTTTCTCGAAGGTTTCTAAAAAATTAGATAGCTTTTCTGATCAGTGATGTAATGTCTCTCTTAAAAACATGTGCTGTCTAGTCACGTTCCATGATCTTGATACTACTTGTATCACTCTCTGTCTATATCACACGTGTCTCTATCTATAACATCTTCTCTCTATAACTCATCACAGAGCATACAGGCTTTGGTCACTGATCAAGGATGTAAGCTGTATGGGTTGAGCAGCGGGGATAGAACACACTATAGCAATGCATAGGATGGGGATGAGAACACCTCAGAGTTTACTTTTGGACAATTTAGTCCAAGTAAATTCTTTGCATTTGAATTTAAAGTTCGATTCTATCAACTGTGTAGTGTTCTTTTGTGCTTTGCTTCTTTCTGTTCTATCCTTATCTCTCTCAATCTCAACCATATTTTACTTTCACACTAACTTGTAATCCGTTTATTTTATTCTGTACTGATGATAAATCAGTAGACTAGAAACGTTGGTTGTATTTTTTGTAAATATTGTAATGAGTTAATAAGCTGCTAAAATTAGGTCAAGTTCTAAGACTAATTCACTTTCATCCCCATCCTCACTTCAAAATTTATCATCATATTGTTTTAGAAAAGGTATACTTTTGTATTAAGGCAAAAAGAACATATCACAAGAAAGGTGTCTTATTGTTGAACCAAGCAACGTCCATACCATTTTTATTCTTCTTTCATCTTTTGCGCTTTACTTCATCAACTATACTTCTGTTAATACACAAAGAAAACAATTTTTAAAAAGTTGGGTAAGTTGTCTCTTTTCTTTTTTGTCCTTTCCTCTTTGGTTTCTATCCTTCAATCTATCATTAATTGTCCAACACCGTCACCCACCACCCGTTCCCTTTCCGTGGCCAATTAAACGCTCCACCTTCCTGTGGCACACTGGATAAAGTCAATGTAACTAGCTTTATCTCTTTAAAATTCGAAACATTTAGAAAATTTTCAGAAAGTTTATGGGTGAGAAAAGCTGGTGACTATCGATCCTGCTAATGTTCTCAACTACGCCAATCAGATCAGTTCCAGATATGCTACTACTTTCTTTTGAAACTTCTCTCAGAACAGTGTACAATATTGGACTCATTATCATTGAAAAAGTTTTCTGCATTTGTCAGACTGGAGCATTAAGTTGCACAGAGCGCTGTATGATAAAGCAGTATTATGTTGCTGCCAGATCGCAATCGCTATAGTGTGTATTACTAAGAAAAAACACTGGAATTCTACGTCTCAAATCCTTCAAAAATGCTTCCTCTACACGATGAATTTAATTATCTGCCCTTGAGTAAAGAGTTTGAAAATCAAACCAATCTGACCGGTGAAAATGTTTGCTCTACCCGATGAATTTATTTACAAATATTTTCTGAACTGAACTCAGGATCTTGGTTTTCTGCCGTTTTGGTTTTAAGAGTTAGTGAGCCGATTTCAAGTCTTATGCGGACACCACCTTTAAATTGAAATATACAGCTGTTCATTTATGTAGACAGACATGTCGGTCAACTTCTTTATCGACGGCAGCGACGGACATTTTGATTCGACATTTCGTAGAATTCCA